GGGACAAGCCAGAAAGGAGGTGAGAAGCTACCCAGAAGCCAGCACTGCAGGGGCCAAATGCGGAAGGAAGGGCTCACAAAAGGTGAAGCTCTGACGAGGTACTGATAGTGTTTTACAGACAGCAGAGCACAGGAACAGCCAGATGAGGGGAAACAGATCTTTCCAGTTTTCACATTTGGACTCTGGGGAACCCGTGGTGAGTTTAGCAATTCTGTCAGTGTCCACAGAGTGTCAACACTTCCAGGTGACAAGTGAGAAGTTGAGTCAGGCATTAGGACAGTTAGTCTGTCTGATGCCAAAACTGGATTCTGAGTTGGCATATATGGAACATCTGACTGGCAGACTGAGGGATTGGAGGACATGCTAGGTGTTGTGGGGACACAGTTTATGCTTTGAAGACAGAGAAATTTCTAACTCCAGAACAAAATGATTGTGCCTCTGCTGTTTCTGTTCCCAGTTATTTGCACATATGCTCTTCATGTTCGAGGTGTCTAATGGGGGCATAATATACATCTCATCCATTTTGCAAAATCCAGCCTTTCCAGCTCCCCAAACAAACAGGTTCATCAAAAGCTGGTCAACAAATGAAATGGGGCCAGTGGCAGTGACATGTCAAATGCTGGTTGGCAAAGACCCCCCACCCCCTGCCTTACTGTAACTAGAGCCCCTCAGCAGTGCAGCTAAGGCCTTAACTTGCTTAGAAGGGAGACCCCTCTACTTGGATAGGGAAGCCAGCAGCACCAGGAGGTAAAAGGTCTCCCCAGTGCCACAGCAGGTGGAAAGGCCCTTCTCCAGCCCAGCCTCATCTCTGACCACCTCAGCCCTCCCCTGTCTGCTTCTCAGGCCTGACCATAGGCCTGCCTTCTGCACTAGCTACCACCAAGACCCCCATTCCTCCTCTGAGAGGCGAGGCAGACGCTGCAGCTGACAGGACTGGCACACTGGTTTTGTCAGCATGAGAGGCATGCGCTTAGGACATGGGGCGGGGTGCCCTGAGCAGGGGAGGGGCAGGAGAGGGGCTCTGCTCATGCAAGAACAGGACTTTGGGGAGCCTATGAATAATCTCTGTGGGCCAAAGGAGGCCCAGCTAGAACTGGCCCACTTGTAGTTGTGATGTAACTTGGTGATATAGTTACACATGTTTAGTGTTTCGGGCAATGATTTTATTATTTTACTATGACTTCACCCAGTGAACCAAAATGGAAAATTAGTATTGCAGTATTGTGTTATAATCTCACGAATATAATGTGATTGAAGAGTGGAAATTAATGAAAAATCCAAATTACATGTTACCAAACATACATGGAGAGATACTTAAATATATAAATCTCTATCTGTCTGTAAGTAACTCTAAAAACAAGATAAATTAATGTTTTTAAAATGTATGGTTCATAATGGGCTGGAATGCTCCTACAAGCTTAGCAATTACATAAGGTAACCCATTAGCCTTATAATGTTGACTGCTTGGGATCCCATGATGTTGGAGAACAGTACCCCTCACTCACCCCACCCCGACCACCAGGGTCCCCTAGCTGTTCGTCCTTGCACACAATACTCATTCTAACTTAACATCCTTGCACAGGTTGTTTCTGTATCTGGAAATCTCTTCTGTTGTCTGCTGACTAACTCTCTCACCTCCTTCAAGTCTGCTCACATGTCACATTCTTCATGAGTTGACTATTTTGCCACCCTATTTAAAATCACAGCTCTAACCTTCCCCAGTTCCTCTTCACCATGCTCTTATTTTTTCCCATAGTATTTATCAATTTCCAGCATGTTTTAGATTTCACTATTTCTTATGTCTGCTGTTTATTTGTGGTTCTCCCTGCCTTTCTTCACTCCCCTCCCTGACAGCAGGGTTCTTCTCTGTGTTATTCACTGATGCGATGGATCCAAGTGACACATAGTTAGGCACTCAGTGTTTGCTAAGTGAATAAATTCATAGTGTAGGCACTGAAGAAATCCTGTGGCCATTTGATTTTATTACTTTCAATGCTCTTACCTCTAATTAACTAATCTCCCTTAAAATGATAAAAAATTTTAGAGTGGAGAATTCACTAATAAGTCACTGTTTGTAAAATACAAAAGTAACCCTTTTTAAAAGGTTTATTCCCCAGGGAACTGACTAAAGATTGACCACTTATTTTGGGTAAACAGACCTAGTTATTCAAAGCAACTCCATTATAAAGCAATTATCAGCCAACTCTTCAATACATTTTGCATAGGAAATTCAAATTATGTATACTCTCCTTTTAACCTCATGTTATCTTCTGTAGGAAGAAATAGGTAGATATTATCAGCTCATTTTTACTGTCAGGGAAAGTGATTTACTTTTCCAAGCTCATCCTTACCTAGGAAGAGAATCCGGAAGTCCCAACTTTTACAACTCATCTAGAAAAACACTGAGCAAAGAATCATTGTGGGAACTGGTTTATGTAAATTAGAAAGAAAACCAAGTATGGTCTGGTTCCTAAGTAATTCCTATACACTCTAAAATAACCAAATAATTAACACATTGTATAAAGATAAATTATTTCATCTCGTTCTCTACCATAAGAGGGAAATGTCCTCATAAAGGACTCACTTGATGGAACTGGGGTGGCTTGACATCCTCTAGGATAAATTTGTAAGTGCCTTATAGTGGCTGCTACTGTTCTTGCATCACTGTCTCCTCCAGCTTATACAGAAAAGTCATGGTGTGCGGGGGATGAATCACTGTGTGAGGAGGAATTAATTATGTCCCTCTTCTCTGAAGAGGGAACCTGGCGGCCAATTTACTTGAGGGATCATCCATAGTAAATGATTAATCAATGGTTATTTGTCTCTTAAGAAAATGTTGTAAATCTTAAGACTTTGAGTCATGAGGCCACATGGCATCCCTCCACTCAGAGGTCAGCTGCTGGTAATAAGGAAAAGTGATAGCCAAGCAGGTTGTTATGGAAATCAGGGATGAGTCACCCCCTTGCCTTTCTATCTGGTACCTATGGTGATTTCAGAGATAGATAAAGCTCAGGCCCTCGCTGCTTAAAGGCCATACTTACACTTAATTGTGTGATCAGACATCTTTTTGGCTTTACTTCCTCACTTGCACATCCCTATGCACCATCCTTTGGTGCCAATTTCATGCCCCTTAAAGCTAGCAAAAAGGATTTTGCTATAATGAGCAATAAATAGCTGATTAGTACCCAACGGGAAGCTATACAAATTCTTCCAAAATAAGGGTAAAAAGCAATCTACTAAGATCAATAAAAATATCATTGAGTAGCTTCAATATACCAATCAGTGTGCTGTTTGAAGTAAGGGCCAAGCCCAGAGTATACCTTCAAGCAATAGCTTAGCTGATTCCTACTGATCCAGAGATTTTAGGACCCTGATACAAAAGCAAGGACCCTACAAGAGGTGTCTTTCCATGGGGGAGGGGACATTCAGGGAAGCGGGTGACAGCCCAGAAGGTATAGGGGCGTCTGAGCAAGGGGGCTTTAGTTAGAGAAATTCAGAGAGTAGGAGATGAAGATAAGGGCAAAGAGGGTGTCCCTCAGGGTGGGTAAAAATGAGAAAGAAAAACTTAATTGGAGGAGAAAAGCAGAGCTAGTTTTTTCAGGGCCAAGTGTTTACTAGGAAAAGGGAATTGGGAGGAAGGATAGTGAGAAAACAGGAGAATTATGGAAATGTAAAAAGTGGGAATGAGCCTGGGACAAGCCAGAAAGGAGGTGAGAAGCTACCCAGAAGCCAGCACTGCAGGGGCCAAATGCGGAAGGAAGGGCTCACAAAAGGTGAAGCTCTGACGAGGTACTGATAGTGTTTTACAGACAGCAGAGCACAGGAACAGCCAGATGAGGGGAAACAGATCTTTCCAGTTTTCACATTTGGACTCTGGGGAACCCGTGGTGAGTTTAGCAATTCTGTCAGTGTCCACAGAGTGTCAACACTTCCAGGTGACAAGTGAGAAGTTGAGTCAGGCATTAGGACAGTTAGTCTGTCTGATGCCAAAACTGGATTCTGAGTTGGCATATATGGAACATCTGACTGGCAGACTGAGGGATTGGAGGACATGCTAGGTGTTGTGGGGACACAGTTTATGCTTTGAAGACAGAGAAATTTCTAACTCCAGAACAAAATGATTGTGCCTCTGCTGTTTCTGTTCCCAGTTATTTGCACATATGCTCTTCATGTTCGAGGTGTCTAATGGGGGCATAATATACATCTCATCCATTTTGCAAAATCCAGCCTTTCCAGCTCCCCAAACAAACAGGTTCATCAAAAGCTGGTCAACAAATGAAATGGGGCCAGTGGCAGTGACATGTCAAATGCTGGTTGGCAAAGACCCCCCACCCCCTGCCTTACTGTAACTAGAGCCCCTCAGCAGTGCAGCTAAGGCCTTAACTTGCTTAGAAGGGAGACCCCTCTACTTGGATAGGGAAGCCAGCAGCAGCAGGAGGTAAAAGGTCTCCCCAGTGCCACAGCAGGTGGAAAGGCCCTTCTCCAGCCCAGCCTCATCTCTGACCACCTCAGCCCTCCCCTGTCTGCTTCTCAGGCCTGACCATAGGCCTGCCTTCTGCACTAGCTACCACCAAGACCCCCATTCCTCCCACAGCCCCTTCTCTGCATCCACAGGGCTTCTGGCAGAGCCAGCGGGCCCCATCATATCTGCTGCCATTACGGTGACAGAGCCCAGACTAAGTCTGTCTGCTCAATACTATACTGACCTGTCTTGTTAGGGGACATAAACTAAGGAAAGGGGTAAAGAGGGCATTGGTTTGCCAGGGCTGTCACAACAAAGTGCCACAGACCAGGTGGCTTCAACAACAGACTTGTGTTCTCACAGCTCTGGAGGCCAGAAGTCCGAGACCATGGCATGGGCCGCTGGTTCCTCCCAAGGCCTCTCTCGTTGTCTGACTGATGGCAGCCTTCTCCCCATGTCTTCACCTGGTCTTTCCTCTGTACGTGTCTTTGTCCAAATTTCCCCTTTTTACAAACATACCACTCAGATTAGGGCCCACTCTAATGACCTGATTTTAATGTAATTACCTTTAAATACTTTATCTCCAATTACAGTCACGTTCTGGGGTGCTGGGAGTTAGGACTTTAACATACAGATTTTGCAGGACACAGTTCAGTCCCTCACAGAGGCAGAGTGTAAAGGGGTTGGGGGGGTCATGATTGTTGTTTCAGCTGTTGTGGTCAAGGAACATTTCTCCACGGAGGTGATAGCTGAGCTGAGATCTGAATAATGAGAAGAGGGCAGCCATGTAAAGTTTGGGGGGAAGAGGGAGCAAGAGGAACAACACTGACAGTGGCAACAGAGAGCAGTGACAGAATAGACATCTGTTGGATGCCTTCTGCCTGCTTCCCTCGGAAGTCCTCTCCCTGCCATCCTCGCGGGGTGGCTCCCAGTGGCCATGACAGTGCTTCATGACCTCTCACCCCAGCTGGAGTTGATAGACTCAGGAGAGAACTGTTGACACAAGCTGAGCATTTGGATTCTCTCACCTGGCAGCTGGGATTTGTGCCCTCGAGAGTCCACCAGTCAGTTGGTGAGTGGCTGTGAGACAAGACACATAGAGAGATCTGAGGTATTTAAATTCCTGGCTCAAAGCCCTTTCAGAGGCCCAGTCTTATTTCTGCATTTGGATTTATGTCACCCACCCCTCCACCTCTGCCTTTTAAAATCTTTTTTCTTCTCAGACTTGCTAAAGCTGGTTTCTGTCACTTACCACCAAGAAGCCCTGACACAGAATGCTGGCTCTCATGGGGGCTTCACGAGAGTCCACATGATTTGTGGAGGCTGCTTCCTTCCTGTATGCTGCTCCAGACTTGAGCCAGAGAGAACTGGTTGTCAGTGTTATCACCATAGCTACTGCTATTTCACTTATGTTCCAGAATGTCCCCACTGAATCTCACAGTGCACACCCACAACTCGGGGCCTGCTCCCTGGAAGTCTTTTCTGGGAACTTGGTGTTGAGCTGCTCCTTCTCTGCTAGGCAGCCTGTCCACCATCAGCTGGGGGTTGTTCAGGTCCACACTTTTCTGGTCTTCATTTCCAACGAACCCTCATGAATTCTGGCCTCCATCTCTCTCTGCATTCTCTGGGCTGGTCATTCTTCTTTCCCCTTATGTTTCAGCAGATTCTGTCCTCTTCTCTCCCCCAAAATCATGCTTTATCTCACCAAAAAGCACATAGGTTTCCATTGTATGTGTTTCCTCCAGCCTTTTATTAAAACTGGAACAGTCAAAACACTCTCTGGGTGCATCTTCTGCAACCTGCCAGTCTGTTAGGTAGGGAGAACAGAGGAGAGGAGGTCAGCTGGGAAGCCTGTTTGCCGCTGTTGATAAGCATCACCTTGCAGAGCAGCAGAGCTCTCAGTGCAAACAGAACTACGTGCCTGGGCAGGCCTCTGGCCGGGTGGGGCAACTCCTGCTCAGAGATTCTTCCAGATCTGCACATTGGCAACATGCTGTGCATATTTTCAATGCATCTGCTAGACAGCAAAAAAAAATCTCTGTGGAGATCAATTACCCACAAAAAAATATCTAACTGGGGAGATCTGGTTGTGCAGAAAATAGGAGAACACGGAAGAGATTTGTCCCCTCTCTGCACCTTTGGAGGGCATGCCATGTGCTCTGAACCCACCAAGGCAAAACAAGGTCATAAACCTTGAGGAGAGGCTGGGGGCATGTAGTTACATTTGGTTGTTTAGTACAAACTGTGGAAGTCTACTGCCTACAAGCACATTCTAAATCACACCCAGAGCATGAAGCAGCAAACAGTGGTAGGGATTTTTCAGAACAGGGCGAATTCTTTCTAATCCAAGTTGTAAATCAAAGCTCTCCCAGTCCCTTGCTATCATCACCTGCAATGCGCAATGACTTTGATGATCACAGGACCCTCAGAGCTACCTGCCAGCGGCCCAGCAAGACCAAAGGTCAAGGATCTTCCAGTCAAATAGGAAGTTGCTCTTCTAAATCTAGCATAGAATGGGAGGTAGGGGAGGAATTAGGCCATGAATAGTGCAGTTTGTATTTATAGAGACTAAAATGAGCACTGTAACATTTAAGTTAATAAAAGCCCTTCCTGGAGGCAAAGAAAAAGTCAGAGCTGGGTAATTGATTCCTGGTGATATGCTGATATAAGAACATGAAAAACATTTACCTGCTACTGGTATAGTATTACTGTTACAGAGATTAACTGGCATAGAGTGTTACTGGTATAGAAATTAGCTGTTATTATCTCCCTTCCAGATAATCACAGTTTCAACTCTAATCCTATGCAGTGATCATTTTGCCTCTGCTGCCAATTCATTCACCATTTCATCATTCATACATAACATGTACTATTTTCCAGACACCACAATACAAGTAGAAGACATAAAAGTAAGACATGTTCTCTGCTCTCAAGAGCCTCCAGTTATTGGGTCAGACACATACATAGACACCTAACTAGTGTTACAACTGCTGGAGTAGGGGAATCTGACACATGCTCTGGGAGGACAGAGGGAGAAAAAATTTACTTTTCCTGGGAGTTGAGGAAGGTGGGGCAGGGCCAGGGGAAACAGCCAGTGAGGGCTACAATGGGAATGAACATTTACATTGGGCTTATTACATGCCAAGAGCTCTTCTAGGCATTTTATGTCCTTCAACTCATTTAATCCTCGTAAGAAACCCATGAGCTAGGGATGATTACTTCTTTATTTTGTTGATGACAAAACTGAGGCACAGAGAGTCCAATAACTTACTCAAGGTCACACAACCTGTAAGTGGCAGAACTGGGGTCTAGGGCTGGGCAGGGAGGCCCTGAGTCCATGCTGTGACCTCCAAGGCTATGCTGCCTGACTGGGAGCACACAGGTATATGGTGACAGGTAGGTGGGCTGCACTCAGATTCTGAATAGCCTAAATGCTGTGTTTTATCGTAGCATGAGAGAGGCTTTTTAAACAGACATGATTAGATGGGTCTTTGCTTTAGAAGGATAAAGCAAGGGCTAGATGAGTGATGAATTGGAGAAGAGACAACCTGTAAGAGGCTGTTGTAATACTCTGAGGATCCAGAACAGCACAGAAGGGAAGGCTTAGAGCTGGACGGCAAATGCCTGGCATGTGTAATACCACTCAAAGCAGAACTGATAGCTGATCACAGATGAGGTCAGATGCTGCCTCAGCATCCTTCTGAACACAGTGCTCCAGGCAGTCACTACTAGTCAGTCTAAGTCAGTACATCAGATGAATCCTATTTGCCATCTCTGGTTGGGATAGGCATTTTAGGCGGACTCTAATGGGACTTGATAGCAGATAGAATGCCCGAATGAGGGAAAAAGTGTAGCCACAGACAACTTGGAGGCTTCTGACCTGGGTGTCTGAATGGGAAGTGATGCTATTGATTGTGATAGAGAAGCCAAGGGTTGGGAGGAAAAACCAAGAGCTCTGTTCTGCAGATCCTCAACAGGGCATCCGAGAATAAAGGCTGGGAGGGAAATAGAGGTCTGAGCTCAGAAGAGACTCAAACTGAACTGCAATTAGAGCATGTGAGGCCTGGGAAGGGAATGCCATCTCCCAGAATTAGTAGAAGACAGAAGGGGGCTCGAGGATGGAGCCCTGGGAACACCAGTCCCTCAGCGGAGCAGGGAGTGTCTGACAGGGAAAGGGTGCTTGCAGATGGAGGGAGTCAGGGTTACTGGATCCTGCGAAGAGGTCAAGAGCAACGAGGAAGGTTGTGCTGAGATTGGTAATGGGGAGATCCTTCTTGACCATCTTAAAAGAGCATTTTCAGTAATATAGTGTGGGTAGGAACCAACTCACATGGTTGGGTGGCTGAAAAGAAGGTTTAGGAGTATAAAACTATTCTTCCAAGATGTCTGGAGGTAGGATTAAGGGAGGAACAATAGCACGTTGCTGAAGAAGGAGCAGTTGAACAGGAAGGGACTGAAGATGGAGGAGAGAAGCAGCTGGTGTATATGGAGAAAAGAGATGGATTAAGAACAAGGGGGTGTTATTGGAAAGAACAGACACAACGCAGAGTGTCATTTTACATCTACTGGTGTCACTCTTACTGCTAGTCCAAGGCCCTGTCTTTTGGTCCCTTTTATCCCCAGTGCCCAGTAATACACTAGGGACTGGATGAATACGTGCTGAATGAAGTGACTAAGTGGTTGAATGGGATCTCTTTTTCTTAGACATGAAGGAAGGAGTCACTGGAGCTAAAGTTCCTGATAGTAAAGAATGGGGGAAACAATTTTTAGCTGGTGATAAAGAGGGTGGCAAAGCATGCGGGTGTGGGCAAAGGAACTGGATCAAATTCCCCAGAATTCATGTAAAAGCTATACCAGAATTTTCATTCTTAAAGGCAGAAAGAAAAAAAGAAAAGAAAAAGGAAGGCCACAGTCATTTTTTCCTTTAGAAATATATACCAGAGTTTGTGCAACAGGATTTCTGAAGCTCTGTCATTAATGATGGATGTAGAACTTCCTTTGTTATTTTCTCTTCTTTCAAGAGGTAATACCCAGAATGAACAGAGGGACCCACTCTGTTCTCTATCATTTATGGAGGGGCAGGGGGGGTGACAGAAGTTGTCTAAAATAAATATGTTTAGAGGTGCACTACATCTTCAAATGTAAGTGTGATTAGGTCTGGTAAGAAAGTGTTCCTTCCAGTTGTCTTTGTTTCCCCTTGGGATTAAAAAAAATTATTTTTAAGTGTTTTCCTTTTGCCATGCCTGCGAGGAAACAAAATTACCCAGCTGTTTGCCAAAAATCACAGTAGTGGCAGCTACATCATTATATTTGTACCTCTTTATAATTAAGATGAGATTGACATGAAAAAATATTTGTATTCCTTTAATGATATTATAGGTTTTGTGTTATTCCTTCTGCTCTTTCTCATCTGCTTATCTGCTTTTTTGAGGGTAGCCTCTTTACACATCAATAATTTCCAGGTTACAAGTTCATTAGACAGCTCTAACTGCCTCACTTTTCCTTCCTCACCACCTCTTTATATTTGAAAATGTCAGTGGGCACTGAGTGAGTGAACTCAGGTGATTCCAAAGGAATGAGTCCCTCTGACCATTGTTCCCCCAAAGCCAAAATCCTGTAGAGTAGATGTGTTATTGTTTTCGGTTAGGCCTCTGGCTGTTTTTTAAAAGAGGGTGCTGGCAGTTCCTCATATTATCACAATGGAAATCAAATCATGTGCTTGTGTGTTTGGACGTCAGGGCACCTCCTATTCCTGGCTCAGTGGGTTTAGAGGCCTTTGTCATGTGCCCAAGCAAAACAGTCTCTCTGGGGTATCTCTTCTTTTTTCTGTTGCTATAGGTGAGTCTGTCCAAGCATTTAGAAATAGGGCGTTCTCACAATTTAGCACATGTGGGGAAATCACAGATAGAACACGAGCCAAGTAGCACGTTTTATTGGCTGAGTTGGCAGTAAAAGCTCTCATGACTCAGACTTGCTTCAGACAAGGACAGAATCTTGAAACTGGGTGTAGCCCCTCGGAGCAGATCAAAGCTCCAGGCTCGATTGCAAATGGAAGGGAGACTCTGTACTTGAACGGAAGCGGTGGAACATCTGGCATTAGTCAAAGCCATAATGAGCTGTGGTTCAGTCCTCAGTGCATCGGGGCCTGGGAGGGAACAAGGGGGTCCCTGGTTTGGATTGGGGGCCAGAGATCCAGCCCCCATATTTATAAAGAGTCTCAATTTTAGATTTTTGTACTATCTGCAAATGAGGTTATAAATTCAGACACAAAGTTGTACTTGCAGGAGGGAAAGACTATATTCATCAGACAATTTTAATTTTTAAAACATAAACATTAAAATACACTATGACTTTTAAATCTTGTTTAGCTATTTGCACATTTTTAGAAGTATAGTAGGAGCCTGAAAAGTGGAATTGACGACCTGCCTTCCCTCTGCTTTCCTGCTAGCAAAGGGGCTTTTAATAAGTGCGGACTGAGTAGCTAGGAGCCATGCATTCTGAAAACATGCTTCTGGGGAGTTTACAGAGAGAAACAGTTCTATACCCTCTTCCTGGCAGTCAAATGTCCTTGTTCACCTCCACGAGTGTGCTGCTCCAATGGGACCACAGCCAGCTTCTCCCACCCAGGTCGGGGCTGCCTACAGAGGGACCCACACAGATCCCAGCAGCTCCAGTGCAAGACTCAGCTTCCTCCTCATACCAGCTGCCCCTTGAGGGATGCCACCCATCTGAGCACCTTGGGCAGTAGCGAGACCAAGATGTTTATGATATATCTGGAAGAGAGCACATGAAAAGGGAAATAATAACAGTGCTGTTCTTCCCTCTGCATAAGGGGAAACAAATCTCATGACAATTGATACTTCATG